CCAGCAGGGTAGGTAAGTACTCAGAGGGGGCGGGGCTCCAGCAGGGTAGGTAAGTACTCAGAGGGGGCGGGGCCCCAACAGGGATAGAAATGTCCTCAGAAGGGGTGCCTACTTGCAGTGCCGCCTGGCACTCCTCTAGGAGGCCCTGCACCAGGTAGTACTTGGCCTCTGCTAGCAGCTCCTCGATCTCCCGGCGGCTCTCGGGCAAGGGCACGGCCCCGTCTCGAAGGTAGTTGAGGATGGTCCCAAAGTGCTTCCCGCAGCGGTCAATGAGGATCCAGCCTGCAGTGGGGAGGGAGGAAAACTAGGTCAGCACCACGACTGGGCGCTGTCCCCAGACTCCTGTGCTTGTCACTGTCAGCCCGTGCCACCCCAAGGCTCCTGAAGCCTCCAAGTGCACTCTGAAGGACCTGCACATAACCGAGAAACCAAAAGTCTGACTTCCGCCTTGGCCACTTTGCCCAACATTCCCGACTGTGACCCACGACTTCTCACTGCAAGTGCTTATGAACCCGTGACAGCAACAGGACAACAAACAGACTGTCATCCGAGGGCTCAGTCATCAAGAGCGGGAGAACGGGCTTCATGGGATATGTAAACTGTTCCACCTGCTGGCCAGCACCAGGCAGAGGGGAAGGGCTGAGAAGGGAAGCCCATCCTTCTGCTCACCAGAGTCCTCTCCAGCTGCCACTGGCTTACTCTACACAAGCCTACTGGGTTTCAAAAACCCCGATCCTATTATGTGACCTCTCTGGAAGGTGTTCAGAGGAGAGGGCAGGCCTGGAGCCTGGTAACAAAGAGGCACCAGGAGGAGGGAGAAAGGAAGGAAGACCTGTGATCTCTCACGAGAGCGTGGGAAGCTCAGAAGCAGTCTGGGGAGAGGTGGGGGAGGCTGGTGAGATGGCTCAGCAGTTAGAGCCCACATGGCATTCCCAGTCATCTGTGACTCTGTCTCAGAGCACTGATGCCCTCTGCTGACCTCTGTGGGCACTGGGCACTCTGGTGGGACGCAGACACACATGTAAGCAAAACGTCCATACACGTCAATGGAAGTCTCACAGCCAGAGGGGACGGACGCCAGAGCGGTCACCCAGAGACCCCAGGCAGAGGGACTTGACCACACCTCCTGACTGAGCGTGGTATGGCGGTATACATAGGACTGGGATCCCGCTGTCTCCTCTGCTCTCTGTTGGGTGAAGAAACAGACATCTCTACTCCTGACCCCACTGTGTCCTGCCCTGGGTCCTCATACCTGAGCCCTGAGCCAGGGACAGAGGACAACAAAAGTATCCTTTTCATGTGTCAACTCACACCTGCCCACCCCCACCCCGGTCTCCCATACCCAGCCTTTGCCAAGCGGCCTCTCCTGGTTTTAGTGCTCCCTGAGATCCCATGATCCCCTCCTGTCCCTCCTCCGACTGCTGCTCCCACACCTGTGCTAAAGGCTGGTCTCCATTCCCAGCCTTCAGGGGAAAGTGTCACAGCGCTGTGCTTCCTGCCTGGGGCATGAGGAAGAATGCCCCGTCTGTGACACAGAGTGTATGCTAAGCAGGCTGGGAGGGCAAATCCTCCCGCAGTGACCCCCGGCTGCCATGGGAGCCTCTTTCTGGATCTGAGAAAACAAGACATGCACTTACTAGTGTACACACTCCACAGCACGCAGTGTGCGGCTGGCGGTCCAGGCCGGTGGCCAGCTAGAGAACGCACCCCTTCTCCAGAGTGTGGCCTCTACTGACGCAGGCAAAAGTGACCAAGACGGCAAGTGGGTCTGGAGCCGGAAATTCAGATTTTTTTTCTGTCAATCTCCTCATTTTAAAAGGATGGTAAACTAACTTAAAAAACAAAGAGTTCTCAATCCATCAAAAGGTAAGTACAACATGCATATGTGTACAGGTTGAATCAGCCTCCATGCCTCGGGCCTACAGCCCCCAAGTTCCTAGACCGAATGCTGACACAGTATGGACTGACGGTGTTAGCCTCTGGACTGCTCGTCTAGGGAAGACTCGTTCCCTCCACTTCCACAGACACAGAGTTCCCAAGATGCTTGGGGGCACTGGGAGGGGGGGCGCAAGATCCAGCCACTGAGAATAAAGACCCTCAGGCTCCGAGAGGAATGGCGGTCAGTGACAAACTCAGCTGACTGGAGAGCCTGTGTCCTCCTCCTTCCATGCATGATCAGCTCGAGCTGCTGGGGAAAGGCCAAGAGCCCCCAAATCCATTCCTCAAGTGACAGCCCAGAGTTTCCATAAACCCACAGCAGACGGGACGCTGGGCTGTGAGTCAAGAATGTCAGGAAGTGCTTGTGGGGAGGCGCTCTTGAACAAATAAGGGCAACGGCTCGCACACCCTCCATGCGGTTTCCATTAGCATTCTGACTTGAAATATTCTGGTCGCTTTCAAAGCAGGCATCGACCCCTCACACAGCTCAACAGCCTGCACGGGGAACCGCAAGCTGCCATCAAGCGGGCGGCCTTGGAGAACACAGCATGGAGGAGAGCTTCCAGGGCCATGGGGACAGCAGGATTAGTGCAGCCCAGAGGCTCTCACTCCAGGACATCTCAGCACCTAGCACAGTGGTGACAAGCAAGGGCCACTGTCAAAACCCAAGCTCCCACGTGCCTGATCCATGCTCAGTATTCCCCTTAAGCTCTGTCCCGAGGTCCCACAGGATACACAGTGCTGACACACAAGTGTGACCAGAGGCTGGCCTCTAGGCAGCACTCAAAATTAACCACAGGTGTGTGACATTGAGCATATCACCTCGGGATACTGCAAACACCAGACCCCAGGACTGAGTCTCTGTGGCTTTCAGGGGGTCGAGAAGAGAGGGGGTTCTGGGGTGCAGGACTACTGGCTAACATCATGTAAACACACCAGTGTTTCGTCTCTGGGGAAGCTTGGGTGCTCCCTCTCCTTCCCCTTCTTTAGAAAGCTTCTCTTTACATCTCTGAACAGCCCAGTCTTCACAGTCACTTGGACATACCTGTACAGACCCAAAGGCCTGAGCCTGAGCCTCAGGGCAGACCTGGGAGACAGAGCCTGTCCAGGGCACTGCAAGGCACCCAACTGTGACAACCAAAAACATCTTTGGCCATCTCTAAATATCCCTTAGGTCACAGACAGCATCAACAATGCTTATCTGAGAATCGCTGACACATCAAGAGCCCGTGGAGGGGCTGAAGTGCAAGACAGTCGAGTCTAGCAAGTGACAGCTCCCAGGCCCTATTCTCAGTCCTTGGGAGGTGGGGGGAGGAGACAGGGAAGAGAATAAGTGGTGGAGGGAAGGAACAAGGAAGGAGGCAGATCCTAACAGGAAAAGCCACACGTGAACGTAGAGGTACTGAAGAAAGCTGAGGTCAGCCAGACAGGGAGAAGTTCTCTACAAACGGAACCCACAAGGAAACAGGAGTCAGAGCACGCACATCTACAGAGCAGCAAGGTGTAGATAAGAAAAAGGAAGAACTTACAAATCAGATGCAGTCAGGCAGCTAAAAGATGAAACCCAAACCAGTAAGACAGACGTACAGCACACAAGAAATTAGGAAATGCAAGAAACAGACCCCGGGTCAGCACAGCTCCTTGGCAATAGTTAAACAGTCAACAGAGCCCAGTGCTGGCAGAAGGCTAGTCCACCGTTGAGGCCTATGCACTGACAGAGCACCTGAGAGAAAGCTCTGGCAATACCCAGCACAGAGGAGGACACGATTCCCAACTGTCTCTGGGAACGAATGAGGGAAGGACAGCTGTAGGAGCAGTGGAGCTGGAGGCTGGGAGGCAGGAAGGGGAAGTCCCGACCCTTGTCCTGCTTGCCCGGGGGAAGTCGGCATTCCCAACATTGGACACTGGACACATCTGTGGGGCCATCAAGCGGACATGCTCCACTAGCTGCAGGACGTGTCTAGAAGGAATGGCTCCACCTTGGGGAAACACCTGAGCAGGGACTACTTACTCAACGTCAGCAGCACAATGCTAACTGAACAGGAAAGCAAAGCACTGGTGAAGCCACACGAACAGCACACTGCTTACTAACTCCACAGCAGTGGCAAGCATGACACCCAGACACACGCAGCTCCCCGTCCTGACTGCACACTGGACTCGTCTGGGGAGCACACTGTGCCAATGGCCCGCCAGGACCCAGACAGAAGCTTTGCAGTCCTTGGGTGAGCAGACTGAGCTGCACTCAGGACCCCAAGTCAGATTAATGGCGGCCATGAAGTAGGAGGGAGGCAAAAGACACGCACCAGGGGCCACACTGTGTCAGTCTCCTGACTTTCTTCTAAGGGGATTGCATGTAATAAAACGGAAGAGTGCTTCAGCCTAGTCTCTCCACTCCCAGATTCTGAAGGCGTTAGTCAGAGATCTGAAGCCATGGGGAGTTGGGGCAGGGAGGGTGCAGTGTCCAGGCTCCAGGAACAAAGCACAGCAGGCTAGCCCAAAGAGACATGGAGGGGCAGGAGGGCAGGGTCTCACATGTGGCCTTGAACTCTTGATCCTCCTGCCTCCACCTCCTGAATACAGGAATCACAGGCATGGGCCATCACTCCTGGGTTTTTATGTGGTGGGGGGGAGGTGCTGGGCAGGCACTCAGAGCCCACAGACTGAACCCGGCTCCACGCATGCTAGGCAGGCACTCGGAGCCATGATCCCAGCATCAGAATTTCATTCTTACTGCAAGAGCTGCTACACAAACCCTCTGGGCCACTGGAGACGGTTGGGGCTCAGAGAATTCTGCGGCAGCCAGAACAGAACTTTTCAGAGAACTCAGGGAAAGCCTGCTCGCTGCCAACAGGGCCCCTCAGAAAAGGAGTCCCAAGGGCGCAATTCCAAGCACATCTACTCCTGAAGGGCAAGATGGCCCCACGGAGGCAGGCTTCCATCCTCCTCCTTCAGGCATGCTGATGGCTCGGCTCTCAGAGCATCAGCACTGACCACGTGGTTCAGGTAGCAGGGGAAGCCACTCATCGAGGCCGCAGTGCTGGTATCTGGCAGGTGAGGCAGAACTGGCCCCATGCCTGACACAGGAAAAGGCATCAGAACTGTTAGCTGTGTCCTTGCCATGGTGAGCCAGGGCTCAGGCCTGGAGGAGCCTCCCACACTCAGGCTGTCACTGGGGAATCGTGTGCACATGAAGTGGCCCTCAGGCAAGTGGCAGTGGCACGGGGACACTCGCAGCAGCCCAGACGCAGGGCCATGCCTCAAGCCACAGTCTCTCAACCACGCTCCGGGGATGCCTACCAACATGGCACGTGGCAATGCCAACACTCCTAGGACTGTCCTACTGTGGGTGAAACCTCCTCCTCTTCTCATGGGAAGCCCTACTGTGGGCCCCTCTCTCAGCTGCTGCTCTTGACGTGTCTTAGAGATAGAGTCTTTATGTGTGCTGTGTTGAGAACACGCATGTGGTGCTCACAGACGCCAGACGGCGTCAGATGCCCTGGAGCTGTGAGCTGCCTGCCTGTCTGTCAGTCCGCTTCGAGCACTGAGCCATGTGTCCAGCCCTGGCATTTCTGTTTACAGCAAATGTCAGTTCGGCAGCGATGGGCCCCACACTAGGATGCTCCTTTAAGATGTGTACGGTCTATTCCTATTTGTACCTAAGCACGTAGGTCAGGCTATGCAGTGTCCTCCAAGGGCAACAGGATGGCTCTGCCTGGCATGGGTTGATGGCTGAGGTCAGAACACCAGCCTGACAGCCAGGCCTCCATGGGGTTGCTGAAGGGCTCTGGCACCAAAGCAGTAGCCAATCCATCCACAGAGAATAAGAACCAGGGATCTCAGGGACAGTAGCTGTATCTCCTTTCCTAGCCCAGAAGCTGTGGAAGAAGACGTTAACATCTTCCTCAGGCCAAGGGCTGAGTGGAAGATCAAAGGAAACAATCACCAAGAGCTCTGAGAGTTCCCAGAGGGGAGGAGGCCTGGCGACTGATGTGATGTGGGACAAAAGAGGCCATCCTTAGCATGAGTCTAGAACAGGAGTAAGATGGAGGTCCAGACACTGCCCAGCTGAGTGAGGCAGGCTGGGAACCACATCTGGTTTACAATAAGGCCTTGGGCCACCCCGTGACAGCTTTCCCCAAGAAGCTTCCTCAGCCTTCAGTCCTCTTGGAGCCGCTCTTCCAGAACCCAGCCTAGACTGCATTAGGCAGAACCGAATGGCAGTGACCCTGGGTTCTCAGATAACCTCGGTTTCCTGGTACAGCTGGGGTGCCATTGTCTTCATTTCCACAAACACCCTGCAGTGTGGGGTGTGACGCAGCAAAGGGCACCTCCCGCTCATAAAACACTCTTCTCTGAGTGCCAGCACTTAACTGCAAGGGAATCAGCACGGGAAGGAAGGTACCTGGCCCTGTTTTATGGAAGCAAGTGAGGAAGAAGCTTGCTCAGAGTTACACAGCAGACCTGCTAGGTCAAGACCAAGAGTCCTTATCTGCACGAGTGACTGCTACTCAGTCTGGTCTCAGCTCCAGCACCACTTCCTCAGGAAGCCCTCCCTGACCACACCCTCCAGACTAAGACTAGTATCCCCAAGATTCTCAGGGCTTCCTGCACACAACTGTGTGTGTGACTGCCCTCTGAACGGACAGAGGCCCTCAACCACTAGTGTGTCTGTGGCACTTAGCAGCCAGCATGGCAGGCGACTCACCTTCGCTGTCAGTGAGCACTTCCATGCGCCCACTGAACATGGCCTTCAGCATGGTGTCCTGCTTGGTGAGCGTCTGCATGGTGGTGTAGTAGAGGGCTCCCCCCACGTTCAGCTTCACGTACTTGGAGCTGGGACTGGCGCCCTTGAAGGAAGTGGTGCGGGTAGCAGCCGCTGGCACCGCTGAGCTCAGCACACTTTCTCCTGACATCTCTTCCTGCCAGAGAGGAGACAGGGTCAACACACCGGCCTGCCCCACTCCTTTACCTCCAGAGAGGAGACAGGGTCAGCACACCGGCCTGCCCCACTCCTTTACCTCCAGAGAGGAGACAGGGTCAGCACACCGGCCCACACACATCCTTTACCTCCAGGCTGAGCTCACAGCCAGATGTTGTGTGGTTTGGCCATGCATACACTGCACTCCCCACACTGGTAACTCAAGAGCTCAAAAAAACCTTGGCTTTCTGGTTTCTCTCTAAATCAGAGGCTAACTAGGCCAGGAGGACAGCTAGTGGCTGCTGGAGGAGAGGAGCACATCCCTCGGCCCAGCCCGAGCCACACTTGGTCTCACAGGCCAAGACCTGTAGGCATAAGTTTGTCTCTAGATCGTGTTGTGCGATGTCCTTCATTGGCGTCCACAGCACCTGGGCTGCATTTTAAGGCAGCCAAGGCCATGCCTGGGAGGCTCTACCCTTCCATATGGCTACACAGGGAGCAGCCGGAGGGAGGGACCATCTTTTAAATGGATTCCAGATTAAGGTGTTTTTGTGAGCTAGGCAGGATCCCTACTCCCTCCCAGGGGGAAAGTGATCCTGAGCGCGGCCGGATGAGGAAGCAAGCTCCGAAAAGGAGCAACTTCCTGCCCTCAGGTCCCACGGCAGTCCAGGCAACACTGCCAGACCTGAGGGACTTAGATCACGGCTAGCGTCCCTTATGTACATGAAGCTGAATCTAACAAATGCTAGAGCCTGAGATGTCCAGATGTGGGCTGGATCTGCTAACTGAATACAGGGCGAGAACTGAAAGAGAGAAAACAAAGCAGCCCCCACAGACACCGTGGGCTGCCAGCACTGTGAGGCCTTGGACAACATCAGAGCTTCACCAACACACTAAGGTGCTCTGCGGCCATGCTGCTGCGGCACAAAAACAAGACCATCCCACTAACACACCCGAACACAGAGGACATGATCGTTATCCAAAATACAAAAATACCCCCAGTCTCCTGGCTGAGGTGTAATCCTTCTGCTGACCTGCCGACTGTGGGTCTTGGTGCACTGCCTTCAGGGGCACACCACACAGAAGGATGGAATTAGCTGCCTGCTGACAGTATCTCTGAACACTCCTGCTCCTCTTCCTGAGGGACCTTCCACTCTCTCGCTGTGAACTGGAGGTAACCCAGTCATAGCGGGCACGGATGTACACCTGCTATCTTTTGGCTAGAGGGCATTGACAGCACAAAACTTCAAGCTACCTGAAAAATGATGGCTTTCCTATTTTTTTCTTTTTTCTTTTTTCAAGACAAGGTTTCTCTGTGTAGCCCTGGCTGTCCTGGAACTCACTCTGTAGACCAGGCTGGCCTCGAACTCAGAAATCCACCTGCCTCTGCCTCCCAAGTGCTGGGATTAAAGGCGTGCACCACCACTGCCCGTAGGTTTTCCTATTTTTATCAGAAGGACTTTACACAGTAAATGCTTACCACATCATAAATGGCAAAGCATACATCTTTTTAACACATAGGAGACAAAGCAGAAGCAACTCCTTGCAGTAGAGACAGTGAGCAAGGGACAGGACTAGAGTTTAAGGTTTTCCAGTTCTTCTGGCCCCTCTCCCTCAGCCCCCACTCCAGGGCAGTGGGAAATCACAGGTGGAGAACCTGCATCACAGCCCTGCAGAGCGGAGGGGAGCAGAAAGAATGGCCCCTTGCAAGGGTTTCCTCAAACAAGTGTGTGTGTGTGTGTGTGTGTGTGTGTGTGTTTTCTCTAAAGCTCAGCTGGAGTTCTAAAGTCTATGGCATGATGCAAAGGAAGAAAGCAGGACACCAAACATGGACACGTATACACACACACACATATATACAGAGCTTTCAAAACAGTCCCCAGAAATGCTGTATTAGTAGTCATGGTCAAACACATCCTCCAGAGACATTGTACATGGGTGGCAGGATATTCTAGGAGTAAAGCATTTCCTAAAATTTTGATGACGGGGGTGGGGGGTGGGGTGGGGTGGGGGGAAAGGCTTACAGGTGTGTGGTAAAAGGAAATCTGTCCCAAATTGGAAATATTTTTCCATGTTCTTTCCAGATACAAACTTGTAAAACACACACACACACACACACATGCATATATATTGTCTGTGGTACAGTCTAGCATCTTCATGGTACCTGATACCTTGAACAGGACATAAATCCAGCTGTGTACGTTGGTGCAGACACTCGGCAGAGAGTAAGTCATTCTCTCTGTGTGGAGATAGGTGGCTGTTGATGAGCTTGTGCATCTGTGCCGCCCCACTCTGACTAGAGCAGAGAACACTGACACTCTAGATGTATGTATGCCCATGACCCCTGACCACTAACTTCTACCACTCTATGGCATCCGCAGTGTGAAGGCAGTATTGGTCGTCTTCATTCTATGGCCCACAGAGGGTCAGTGACAAGCGTGCAAAGCACATGGTCAAGGCTTGCCTGGCCCTGGGTCGTCCGTGAAGCTTGCCATATTTAGACCTATGACATGGAAGATAGGACAAGTTCCATCTCATTAAAAGAAAAAGGCTGAAAGATAAGCAGTGTGTTGTTCAGGTGTTTCCAGACTCATGTTCAAAGCCCCAACCCGGCCACACACTGGGGGAGGAACATCGTGGGGAAGACATCCGACTGTATCCCAGCTCTCAGAGACACTGGCTTTCCCTCCCCGCTGCTGCAACAGGCCAGGTGGACAGAAAGCACTCGACACAGCCATAGGCTGACTAAACACTCCGGCAGAAAACACTCAAATTGCAACTGTCTGAGTCTCAAATCATCTCCTCTTCGGAGACTGTCTCCAGCTATGAACGACTGAAGGCCAAAGGCACGGGGGAGCCTGAGCCACCAGATGAAGCAATGAAAGACTGGAGACTTCCCAGAGTCCCTCACCCCAACTAGTCAGCCTGGTGCCTAACGCCAGGAGAGACCCTTGGAGGGCAGGTTCTGGCTCTATCCACTATCGGGGCGTGATGGTGACCTGAGGGCATGGAACAGTTGCCTGCCACAGCTGGCTTCTCTGCAGATACCGTTCCCTGCCTTCCCCACAGTGATGCTGCCCTTCCGGAGGCTGACTTCATGAGTGACTGAGGGTGTGGGAGAGCACATTTGGTACCAGTGAAAGGGCTGTTGGTTACTCAGCTGTGAGATGTAGACTCAGTCACAAGTTCGTTCTGGTGTGACAGGAGGATCTAAGGCCCTTTCCTCCTCGTCTGCTTGAAGATACTGTTGCCCACTAAATGTTGGCTCCCCCTGGCCACACACTGGAGCTTTCAAAAGACATTAATGTCTTCGTCCTACTCACACAAATTCTTCTGTTATCAGCCTTCTGGGTGTGGCCCATGGAATAACTTCTTTAAAAAAAAAAATTCCCCCAGCTGGATCTAATGTGCAGCCAACATGACAAGCCTCTGTTCTAAATGGTGCTGTGCCCCTTAACTTGGCTATAATTAGCTCTGTGTGGTCTTGAAGAAGCTCTCTAACAAGCCTCTTACTGTTGGCCCAGTGAATTCCTGACCCACATATAAAAACAAACCAAAGCATCATAAGTAAAAGTCTCATTTCACAGCTATTTAAAAAAAATCAGCTGAAAGAGAATTGTTGACCGTCTTTTGTTGGAAAGCCAGACAAATAAGACAGGAAAAAACAAACAAGCAAAACACAGAAAATACCAACTCCCTGCACACTGTCTCCTGTCAGCTGAGGGAAACCTGACGGTCGAGCCAAGCTGGACTGCTGTTTCAGGCCGACACTTTCTGTGCAATGTTCGCAAGAGCTACTGAACCTAAGTCTTCAGTTTCCTCCTTTGTAAAACAGACTGTTAAAGCCAGAATCTTCCAAATACTGTCTCTTCCAACCCTGCCTCAAGAACAGAGACAAAGCACGGGGCACCCAGTCCTCCTACTTAATACAGCCTTCCCGAACTCCTTAAGACCAGGCGTTTTCAACTGGAGATATTAGAGTTGCCTGGGCTTCAAGGCTCTGCTGCCTGCCTGGGTTAGACCCCAGGCCAGCAAGGAGTGCTGCTGCCCGGAATTTGGGATTCAAAGGCTCTTTCAGGTGATTCGGATGCTAAGTAAGATTAGACAATCTGTTTATCTAACAGCCGCAGGGATCTGAGGGGAGTTCTTCAGGCGGGTTGCTTAAGAGGTATTAATGCACAGAGGCTAAGCTAACCTGAGGTTTCTGCCACAGTGCGGAAAAGACAGCAGCTCCATTTGAAGCAAACGAGGTTGAAAGAGGCCAATATCTCAAGCATTTTGCCCCGCACTTGCTCCTAAGGTAGTTACCCCCAATTCCAAGAACCTGGCCCAGCGGCATTCTCCTGCTTTTGAGCACACTTCTCCAGTCTCATGAGGGTGTTGCCAATCCTGCTTACTAGGGAAGCTAGGAATTAGAATCGTGCCGGCGCTCTGGTTTCAAACTCCTCCGTGTCACAGCCGAAATCATTCATGACACGCAGAGATTATAAAAACACCCTGGTGAGCCCGGTGCCCAGATTGTCTGCTGTTAGGGTTGAAAACATAACAGCTTTTCTAACTAACAAGTTCCCGGGATATGTTGCTAGTCCCGGGACCTGTTGGAGATCTATCTCCGAGTGCTGCTGGCCTCCTCCTGCCAAAGTGTTCCTTGTTTTAAACAAAACAGAGCTGATCAAAGCCCAGTACAGGCTGGGTCATTTGTCTTCGGTTTGGGACTGATCTCGTAGGTGAATGGCAAAGAAGGCCTGGGTTGATATTCCACCCCCATCCCCACCCAAGGACAAAGAACCATTCAAGGAACAGACCCTAGAGAATCTCCAGTAAACAGAAACCATCCCATAACCCAGACAGCCACAGCTGACATCCTGAGATTCCCGGGGTGTGGTCACCTAGGGCCTCAGCGGAAGTGATTAGGTAGGTACCCAGGTGCCACTTGAGGCTAGACTCTGTGGACAAGATACCGCGACCTCAGACAGCTGGCATGCCTCCCTAGAATTTAATGTCACCAGTCATCTCGCTCCAGACTTGTGGGTTCAGAGGACCGTGTACGCCCCTTCCTCTCTTGCCTGGTACCCAATCACTCAAGACACGACTCCCAGACGCCAAACGCTCTCGGTTCCAAGGATACCCGCTCGCCCCTCTCCACACGACCTCCAATCCCCATTTTTCCGCCCCGAGCGTCTGTTTTCAACGCCGTCCGCCTCTTTGTTCTGACAATCTCCCAAGACCCATCGCCGATCAGCACTCAAGACTCGGGGCCCGTTCGCTCGCTGCCCGGCGCATCTCCGCAGATCCAGACGTCCCTTCGTAGACCCCCAGCCCCCGGCTCCTTTCATCCAAAAGCCCTTCCCCCGCCCCGACCTCGCCCGCACGCGCTACCCAGCGCCCCACCGCTACCGCGCCCGCTCCAGCGCGGCCCTCCCCCTCGGCCTCGTCGCCACCCGTCGCCCTCGCCCACCCGAAGCCCCCCGACGGCGGCCACGGCCCTCACCATGAAAAGTCGGAGGACGCCGGAGTCGCCAAATCCGGACTGAGAGGCAGGAAACACCCAGCTCACTCAAAGCAGGGGGCGGAGGCGGGGCCGGGGCGGGCACTTCCGTTGTCCACACCCCACTTCCGCCCCGCAGAGGGATACCTCTTAAAACGTCCCCTGTAGCGCTAGATGGGGGACTCTTTTTTAATCAAGCGCTCCCGCTAGAGTGGGTTCCACCTCCCCTTAGCCGAGTCAGGCTTTTTAATCCCACTTCTGGATGTTTGTTTCTCCTTTTCGGCTGATAAAGAAGGCGACAGGATGAAAAGGGGTTTTTTGTTTCCCCCCTCCATGGGCAAAGAAGTTATGCGGAACTGTTGTTTCTCGGAACTGAATAATTGCTTCCAGGCGGTGTTCGGAACACAACACCCGGGGCGAGATGGCGGCCGGGCTTCGGCCGCTGCCCCGGGTCTGGCGGAACTCGGGGGTATCGGGCTGAAGCGGCTGTAGCTGCGGCCCGGACCCCGAGTACGGGGGCCTCGAGCGGATAAAGATCTCCGGAGTGAGTGAGAATAGGATGGTCGATTCTCTAGGTGGCGGGGCCAGGGACTGAGGGAGGTTGTCGGGGGGCCGAATCTTGGCTTAGTGAATTCTGAGAGGAGGGACTGACTTTCCGACTTCAGGGATCTCCGTGGCTTCCTCCCATTGATTTTCGTGTTAAGGCGACTGGCCTTACTAGCCAACTGAATCTGGGCGAGACGGACTTGTTATTGTGGTTGTTGATGTTGTGAAAGGCGTCGGGCCTCTGGATCACCCCAAGTGGAATTGGAGCCCTGTGCACTCTCTGTGTGACCTTGGGTGAATCCAGCCACATCTCTGACCCTCACTTTCCTCCTCTGTGAATGGAAAAATTAGATTGCTTTACGGAGATTATTTTATAATACGTTTTAGTGTGGTTCCTGACGGCTCTTAGTACAGAAAAGCTTGATCGTATTTGACTTCAGCCAAGCCACAAGGGTGCCTGGCATTTTTAACTTCTCTTTGTGTTTTCTCTCTCTCTCTCTCTCTCTCTCTCTCTCTCTCTCTCTCTCTC